AGATCCCAAACCCAAAATAGGCTGGAATTGCAGAATCATCAACTCGTCGCGGCGATATGTTCTTCCGCCATCCCCATGAACATAGATTGGAACAAGATCCTTGAAGGAGATGAAATCATGCCCGAAGACCTCGTGATTTGGCTCCTCACTTCGGAACCTTTCCCAAAATTCCTCAAGCCGAGCAGCACCTGGGATGAGAAGGGGTTTGGGTTGAGACACAATTATCTAATTTAATTTTATGATCTATATAGGCAATGAAATCTTAAGAAAAACTTTCTTTCCAGGGTTTGCTCATACAACGATCGAGGTACTGCTGTCGAGAGGACCCCCAAGCAGCTTGTTCAAGAACCCTTTCTCACATAATTTGGTGATGTAGTCCGAGGGCTTCAGAATGGGGATCCGGCAGGTGCTGGAGATATCCACATAAGTAATCGGAACATCGAATGTGAGCTCCCACTTTGTCAAAACTTTCTGAAGATATTTCTCAGCATCAGAACTTGGAGCCCTCGCTAGATCCTTCAAAGCCTTGCAAGCTCCAATGTCATCCGCAAAGGCCTTGGCGATGTTGGCCACGTGCTTGGCGGTGGCCTTGGGCAGTTGGAGGCTTGCCCACGCAGATCTTCAAATTGGTTGGCTAAGTATATCCTTTGGGTATGCAGGGGTTTTAGGTTCTCTGTGGGGCTCAGGTGTCAGTATACCAAATTAGTCGGCACATCTGCATGCATTCAGACTTGATGACCGCATGCAAGTTTTGTTTCGAGCGAGAACGAACAATCCTGGGTGCAATCCGATGTTGCACTCAAGCTAATTTCGCAGTAGCACAGGAGAGCAGTAGGCCGCATATGAAGCAGCAGCGCTCAGACATCTCCAGCGCAGCTGCGTGAATTTCAGGCGAATTAATGGCACAGCGTGTCAGGGCNNCCTAGGCAGGTCAGCCCTTGCAGCCACGCAGTAGCAGTAGAAGGGACCCCCGAACTTGGGATTGAAGTCCTGGTCTCGCATCCCCTCTCCGCCCAATGAGATATTTCGGCACTGAACACGATGATTATGGTGAGAGATTAAAGCAGCCTCAAGCATCTCTATGAACCCTAGATCCTCACTTGAAGCCATCACAAGCATCCTGGTCCAGTTGTGAACTTTGTACAGCTCGAAGCGGGCACTGCAATCGTGGGAAATCCCGATCTTGTAGATCACGATTTTTAAGGAACCCTCACCAGTACTAAAGCGTAACTTCTGGATGCAGTTCTGACAGTGAGCCAAGACCTTCCCTGCTTGAGAGTGGTCAGGAGAAAGGTCATAGGAGATGTTTCTCATGGCGGCATTACTAGGCCGAATGTTCTCAAGATTCGTTGCTTCAGGCCGCATACGCCGCTGCTGCTGCACATGCTCATCCTCTTCGGTGTCAGAAGCCCAGGGGAAAATGTCAAGGCCCCTCTTGGCCCTTCTGCCCAGCATGGCAGCAGTGAAGCTTTCAGTCAGTAAAATGGTGATCTACAGCATGAAACACATTTCATGCGTTGCAGGATTGAGTATATACACTGCTTGTACGGAGCAATCCGGTTGTGCAAAGCTTATATGCATCTTACCCCTGGATTTCCCACACAGCTGTGAGCACCAAATCTGAACAGTTGCAAGCCACTTTCTTTGTGTGATCATCAATGCGTGCAGAAGGTCTGCATGCACATGAAAGTATATAGTGCATCTGCTGACTGGTGAATCGCCTACACAGCCAGAAAGCCCCACTGAGGCCGAAGCTCCCGATCCCAGTGATTTCGCCAATGCGTGGGCCCGATGACTCGCGTCAGCGCTCGACAAACCTGGCGGTCATATAGAGGTAAAGGGTGTTCAGGGTTTGGGTCTATATAGGGCTTATGGGAATTTAATAATTGCAGGGGTTCAGGTTGAGTCGAACGACAGAATTAGAATCTGGGAGTGTTGATTCGACAAGCATGCGGGTCATATTCTTTAAATTTGAATTGCATGGGGAAAGGCCAAGAGAAGTATAGCCATCATTTGCAATGCGCACGCATGGTGTTGGAAGCTAGGGATATATAGCATGCAGTTTAGTCAAGGTCCTCGCGATTGGGACTCCGAAAGCTCCATCATTTTTCGCAAACGGCAAACTCGGGTCCCATCCCAGACCTTGAAGCATATACAAGCTGTAAGCCTGGTGCGATCAAGGCCCCCTTTGCAATGCATATACACACTGGAGACTTCAGAACTGACAGCTGCGTCTAACAGAAAACTATATACATGCATGTGTCACTAGCAACCTTCAACCAATATTTGGGAGCTTGGCTTGAAACACCCAGAACAACTCGCAAAGCCTCGATGCTCAATTTAATTGAGATCTGCGCGCGTAATCCGCACATCACGGTTGGAGCTCTGCGGAATGCTTTCAGCACCCCTTTCAGCACCATCCACATAAAAGCAAATTGACAAGATCGACATATGCATGGTCATGTATACGCATTTCCATGCCAGCACAAGGTCCCTGCGAAAGATCATCTATGGGGCCATTACAGAGCTGCTTGGCCTATACAGGTTTCACGCCCAAACGCCATAAGATGCACATAGACTATATGCAGGATTCACTTTCAGGCTTCAGACTTGAGCTGGGAAGGAATCACGACCAAACAATCCTACGTAGGAGTAGCTTTTAGTGTTGTTTTCTCTTCTTAGGGGCTTTCTTGGCGGGCTTCGAAGGGGTAGCCGTTTCAGTTGGCTCCGCAGCTCGCTTCTGCACGATCTTTCTCTTCAGCTTCCTGCAGATCGAGGGGTAGTGTGTATATGGGAACAGCAATGCGTGGTCTAGTTGCGATCCTTTAAACAAGCACACAGGTCTTCCCTTTGAGGAGCGAGATTGCATGCAGTATATGGGGAGTGCTTAAAGGTCCGGGATGTTAAGGTCAATCAAGGATTGTCTCTTTAATACAGGGTTGTCCAAGGAGCTTGTTCTTGATCTCGATTGAAACGGCCATTGTCATCCTGAGTTGTTCCATGACAGTTCCCATGTGCGAAAAAGGGCTATATAGGCATTGTTGTGTGCATTCCTGATACGCAATCAAGACTCTCTCTCTTGACCGCCTGGCACTTGTTGTCAAGCTCCCTCTGCTGCCTTGGTTCCCAAACTCCATTGCGTGACTACAAGCACTCACACCCAAGTCAAAAAGATTGGGACAGGGTGCGAATCTGCAAAGCCACCTGTCTTAGCATCTGCCTGTAGCTTCGCAAGATCATCGTAGAGGGTACCCAGATTCTTGACCACGTCAATCATCTTCGGCATCTCCCTGTAAATTACAATCTTCAAAGGATCAATGGCAGATGTGCATATGCGCACACAACAAAGTCCATCTACGCAGTTTCAAGTTGGTAAACCTTTTTTAGGGCCCACACGCTTTGACCGTAGCATCACTCATATCCAACTTCTCCAGGAACTTGGAGAGCTTGTCTCTGGCATTCACAGACTCTTGCATATGCCGGTGGATGCTATCC